AGAGGGAAAGAAGAAGAAGAATTAAGAAAGAAGAAAGAGATGATGTACTCCAGCATAGACCAAAGACAAAGCTCTTCTTCGCTCAACAACCTCCTCCTCTTTATCTCCTCCTCTCTTATTCAAACAATAAATAAACAATAATAATGTTGAACAGCTGAACCAGAATCAATGTCCGAATCCCACTTCTACTGCAGGCACAAGATGAGGTCCACCATAGCCATGGCAGCCCTTCTTCTTCCTCCACATACAGGCCGAGGCTATGGCGGACTACTGCGGTTTCAACCTCCGGTACAAAGGACAACCCCAAGCAGCTACACCGCTGCCTTTCTTCAAGGTCATCACCCAGCAGCTATACCGCTGCCCACTCACAACCACCATGCCTGACTCTGTCCCGAGCTTCCTTGATGCGGCACTACCCCCACTGGGGCCTTCCTGATGCAGCGCCTAGCAAGGAGATGAAGATGGTGTCTACCATAGCCAGGTAAGTACCCTACCACTCTCTTCCTTGGTCCCCTTCTCCCTCCTCCTCCTACTAACGGCTGAGCTCCACCATAGCCAAGGTGGAAGCTCCCGGCTTCTTCCTCCCAGCAGCGCTGTAGAGCCCAGCGCTCCTCCACCTAGCGCTCCAGCAGCGTGACGCCCAACTCACACACTGAAGAATGAGGCGGAGCTCTTGCCTCCACCTCTAGATATAGCGGCCTGCTTGCCTCTTGGGCGGTGACTTCCAGGCCGCTCGGCCTCCCAAGCAACCGGTACCTCCTCCGTTTCGGAGGGAAACATCATTGCAGACTCTGATATTGCCCGTACAGGCTCTAGACTCAGACTGGTTGGACTGGTACCGGCCTAGACCTACCCTACCGCTACTAGACTCTAAAAATGCCAACTTTGTCTTTTTCTGCTCGGCCTTCAGTACCCCCACACGCCAACTGCAGTGGGGTGCGGTATCGGCCTACCGGCCTACTTGAGTGTTTTTCCGCTATTCCAAGGGCCACTGGGCCGCTAGCTTCGCCACTTGAGTGTTTCCCGTGCTGCAACCCTCGATGCCACGGCCACAGGTAAGTACCGGCCCTATGGGCCTGCCAAACGAACAAGTACCCTTCCGGGTCACACACACACTCAGGCAGACAATCACTC